TGAATACTATTGAACATGTGTTGAATAAATTTACACCTTACCTTTATTGAAATATATGTTCGTCGATAGTAATACGTGGACTTTTACAACAATTTTGATTGCTGTCAAGGTAGTTGAACCAACTTTTGGATTCAAAAACAAACCTATCAATTTGTTGTTTGGATTCCTTCGTAAAAAATTGTCTACACATAGACATTGAGCAAAAATGAGAAAACCCACTTTTTATACCGTAGAAATGCAATATTTATACTGCTTGCCTCATTTGCGCAGCGTGCATACAGAATCGAAAAAAATGCATGTAAATTTGCAAGAAAGCAGTTTTTACCAGTCTAAATTCTTCTGAATTTACATTTTCTTGTAAGTTCGATCATATTCTTAACAATTACTATAAAAAAACCCGTCCGAACATCGTCTTTCGTACTACCGGTCAAATGACCGGTCGCGGTAGGTAAGACAGTATACAATTTTTTTTCCAAAAATAAAAATTGAAAAAACAAATTAACATTGAAAAATGTTTCATACTCACATATTAGGAAAAGTCATAAAGTTTGATGACGATTCAATTACGTTTGATATGAAAAATACTAATCGAAAAATCAAAAACGGTCATTTGACCGGTCCTGGTAGGAATAGTGTTAAATTAAATATAGCTCCAAAATAAAATAAAATACCTTTCTTTTTATGTGTTCAAGCAAGTATGGATGGCCTTTTAAAAAGCACATGTGAGAAAATTCAATTTCGTCTTTATCAAATTTGAGACTACCAGTTTCAGCAGAAGCAACCTTATGAAAACCATCTAAAAATATATCAGTGTTAAGTATACTTAATTATGTTAACTATTAAATGACTCATGGTTATTTAATTATGATACTTACACATATTTAATTGTCGAATAAAACTAGCCATATTGTTGTGCTTGTAGTTCAGAGGAAGTAATTCACGTGCAAATTGAGCCTGATTTCGAATCACAAAACTCAAACCATCCTATAAAAATTTACCATATTACCTTAAGAATTACACAAATTATGGATAATTTTAAACATGGATCAAAAGTGAGACCTTGAAAATAGTCCTCTGCATATTATAACAAAAATTTCAATTGAAGGCCATTATTTTAAAAGATACATTTGAGCATTGCAGCTTTTGTTATATATTTTTTACATATTAGCATTTAATTTATTTGATTGTTAATTATCAAAAACCATTCCTCACATATTCTATATTTGTGGTAGTTACATTTTTAGATTCCTTTCAAATATTTTATAAATTTACTTGACATTTCGTATAGTTGTTTGGAGGTTATAATATTAAATATCATATTAATATATATTAATAATAAAATTGTATTAAACATAATAAATTGTTTTTGATATATATATAATAATGAACATGCACTAATGTGCACGGCATTATAATCCATATGACATATAAATTTAATATGCCATGATTAAATTTCCAAAGTTATAAAAAAGAAGGATCTTTTATCAGGATTTTACAATCTTAATATTAAGAGCAGAATAGGAAATATTTCTTTTAAAGTTTTAGCTATCAAATGAATCACGACGTTAATGTTTTCAAAATACCGCTGTTACTACTATTACAAAATAGAAAACAAACTAAGTAATGAGTAGAGTAATCAAACTTTGTAATATCGACAAAACAACCAAGATAATTAGAAACAAATTACACAGATAATGTCCCATAAAGACATGAATACTAAGGTATTATTAGTCATCCTAATGAAAAAAGTGGGTGTCAAAGCAAGAAGACCTCTAAAATTCCAAAAATGTCAGGTGTTAAATTTCAATCCACTTACCGAACTCCATGAAATTAAATGATCTGTTTCTGGATCTTCCACAAGTCGCCATAATTTTCCTAAAAAAGCCGGCACTGTACTTCCAAATTCAGTCACTGAATGCATACTTATTGCATTAATTCAATCACAATTTCTAATTTACGCAGTTTTTACCACTAGCATATACATAACTTTTGCAATACGAGACAACTGAAAGATCAGAAATATCTGTATTAGCGCACTATTACCAACTCGAGAACGTCATATGTTTCGAAAATCACGGACTGATCATGGGTGTACTGGAATATGCGTTATATGCGTTCTATTCAAAATGTAAAGAAGGCGCGCAGAATATTAACAGACAAATGAATACATTAAATTTTAATATTGTGTAGGGACAAATGCATTGGAGATGGGTTGAAACTAGATAGATTTTATTTTTATTATATAGGATTTAACCTTTAGATTTAATTTAAAATTTCAAACTTGAATTGATTATTATATTTAATATATGAATAAATGTCATAGCCAATATAAAAAGAAAAGAGCATTATGCCCAAATAAAAATAAAAAGAGATTTAATTTATATATATTTATATATATATATATATATATATATATATATAAATTATATATTTATTTCTCTTAAGAAATATTTATTTAGTTATATATTTATTTATGTTAAGAAGTATTTGCTTAATCTGCACATTTATTATCACCTGTAAAATATAATATATATATATATATATATATATATATATATATATATATATAATTAAATTTTACAGGTGATAATAATTGTGCTGATTAAACAAATACTTCTTAACAGAAATCCATTCGAATAATAAAATAGAAACTAGTTGGTATTGGTATTTTTCCTTGAGGCAAGTTACATGAACTTCCCGATATGTGTAAATAATCGACTTATTCAATAAAAATTGAATTAACTTGTGAGTGATTAAGAGTATTCCCAGTAGATTTATTTCACATAATTGAAAACAAACTAACGTTAACTCGGAGTATTTTGTAAAAACAAATTTTCAAAAATCAATAATTTTTATAATTGAACCAGTTTCCGTAGGACTTTAATGGTTTAGTATGTTCATTAAAACCAATTATACTCTATCGTTATACCAAGTAAATCGTCTAATTTTAATTTTAACAAACATCAAAAAAACTACTCATTTTCTCAAACTTTGATGAATTTTGAAAACTAAACGTCGTAAGGCCGTAATAATTCAGTAAGTTCTATAAGACCAAGATAAATATCGCCAAAAAAGTTCCATAAATTAAATTTTTTTCAACGGTTAATTACAAGAAAACGGCTCAGTAGATTTTTACCTAAAATTAATCAATATCATTCAATTTTGATTTTTAAAATCGATTCGGTAGTATGAGTTTAAATGTCGACGAAACACTTTTTTCAAATTACAAAGAAACGGTTAGGCAAATCGTCTCACAAAATGAACAAACAATAAATTTGGTCTCATTGATTCAGAATAGCTTGAAACGTCGAGAAAATATAAAATTGAAAAAAATCGGATTTTTATATGAAAACATACACTTCTCCTTCGGAAAGTTAATAAAACACTTCTCCTTCGGAAAGTTAATAAAACTAAAAATGTTTCTTAAAATAAATTTAATTGATCCATATATGTCGAGAACCAATTTGACTCTTTTAAGCTTAAATTTTAGCTTATTTTAAGTTTAAATAATTAATCTTAATTAAATTATGCATTTTCTGATGAAAGTTTAAGATTTTACATGAACAAGAATACGCCCACTCTTCTTTTATCTATGAATACGCCACTGTTTACGCAGGTGTGTAACTTGTTCTTACCTTCACGTTGGTTTTTATGAAAGTTCACTGTGGATAAATAATTGATGATTTGTAAATTAATTCATTATAGTGCAAGAGAAAACCTCGTAAAATTTTGTTAGTCGCATTTTAGTTATAGCCAGACAATGGAGGTATTGGATATTACTTAAGTAAATGGCAAATAATCGATAATCTGTCAATCATTAAATATTTCTAGGTTGAAATCGTGAACGCAACCGGTGCCAAAGTATTTGGAAAATGCAGTGTATCTCCATCAACCACTATAAAAGACTTGAAGAAAGAAGTCCAAAGGTTAAACAAAGCCCTTCCGCCGAATCGACAGTCGTTAAGGCTAGAACCAAAAGGAAAAGCTGTCAAAGATGACGATACCTTACAAAGCTTGGGTGTAAAATCAGGAAACAAATTATATGTTAAAGATTTAGGCCCACAAATTGGTTGGAAAACTGTATTTTTAGTAGAATATGCAGGTCCCTTGGTTGTGTATTTATGGTTATATCAAAGACCATGGATATTTTATGGAGAGCAAACTATTTCGACTATGAGCACTTGTGCACAGTATGTATTGTAAATGATAGTTTGATTAAATTTCTTTTTTTTACTAAATCAAAGCAAATTAAATAAATAAAAAGTAATTATCATTAAAAACTGTTTAAAACATTATTACACAATGTATTGAATTTCTAATATATTTAACATTTCTGATATATAATAGAAAACATAACACTCAAATCTAAGTAACAAAGCCCTTGATATTATTCACATTGACATACTTTATGTATTTTTAGAACATAAATTAACAATTTAGTATTGTTGGAATAAATTTAATTTATTTTGCAGTATTGCTGCTGGATGTTGGACAGTTCACTATGCCAAGAGAATTTTTGAAACATTGTTCATTCACAGATTTTCACATGCAACAATGCCGTTACGCAATTTATTTAAAAACTGTTCATATTATTGGCTATTTGCAATGTATGTTGCATATCATGTCAATCATCCACTCTTTACTAGCCCGTGCATGTATCAAGTATATACTGGATTGGGTTTGTTTACGGTGAGTTAATTAATTTATAATTTCTTATGAGATAAAGTTACAACATTCAAAAGGTGTCTAAGTTAAAATCAATTTTATTTTATTATTTATATGTTATTGAAAATTATTACGAAATTCATCAACATTTAATAAATTAGTGAAGTTATAGAATAATATCAAGTATTTGATAGATATAAGAATGTGAAAGGGTATTTTTTCTTAGGAGTATATGAAAAATTGTGAATTACTCTCTCTGCTATTTTTATTATTATTATACCCTTTTTAGGTTTGTGAATTAGGCAATCTATCTATACATTGGGCGTTGAGAAATTTAAGACCAGCAGGATCAACTGTGCGTAAGATTCCTGTTGCTACAAATAACCCACTTACTTCACTTTTTAACTTTGTTTCTTGTCCTAATTACACATATGAATTTGGAGCTTGGTTTGCGTTTACCATAATGACACAGTGCTTGCCTGCTGGTTTATTTGCATTAGCAGGCATGTACCAAATGACAGTGTGGGCTCTCGGCAAACACAGAAATTATAAGAAAGAATTTCCAAATTATCCTAAGAGTCGCAAGGCTATATTGCCATTTTTGTTATAAATTTTTTCATAGAATATTTGCGAACATTAATTATACTCTAAGGGAATTGATAAAATGACTTAATTTTCAATTATTTTGCATTTGGGTGATGCTAATAATAATATGAACTTAGTAATATTAAGAGATGATAGCAATTAAGTTTTACTATATTTACTATACTTTTGTTGATTTTTTATTGTTCAAGGTAATTTTGTAATATAAATGTGTTGTTATAGAAAATGTGAATGCATTTATAATGTGTTACCTTGACCAAAGGTGAACTGTGGGATATAGTGGTTTTGTTTGTATTAGTATTCTCAATCTGTTGTGAATATATGATATTAAGGAATGTGGTATGTATGTGCATGGTGAAATGTTATCTTCAATAAAGATTTTTAAATACATCTTTATATCTCTTCTTATTTGGGATTTTGAGAGTTTTAGGATTCTATTTTTTTGTTTCTCTAGATGAGTTTTTAATTCTGGTAATACTGTATGAATGCAGTGATACTGAATTAAATTTGATTTAATCTGAAATCCCCTTTTATATTAATAGGGGGAGTCTTTTTATTTTTGTTTGTAGAAAACGAAAACTACTATTATTATTTTATTAGATCAAGAGGTGTCAAAATATAAGTTAATCAAATAAACTTTTAAAGGTGAATATTTCATTAATTTCTTCTTTAATTGTATAATCATCTTCAATTTGAATGGGTTTTTCATTTAGCTTCTCTGAAAGTCTTGTATTTTCATCTCGTAGAATGTCTACTAGTTTCTTTATGTTGACCATTTTTGCTTCATATCTTTTTTCAATGGCTTCTTTTTCTGTAACAGCTTTTCGAGTCTGTCTCTTGCTTCTTTGGGTGTGACTGCCTTACCTGATGCTCCTATTAAAGCAGTTAGATCAGCAGCACGGTGCTGGGTTACTTTTAATTCCTTTCGCAAAAAATTTATTTCGGCTATTAATTGTACATTTTCCTGAAATATTGAAAAATTACTGGTTACTTTTTTTTTTAGTAACGATGTGAAAGTCTTTCTATGTGTGTGCGATTCATATTTTAGTAGGGTAAGGTGGTACATGTTATATGTGTCACACTGGTACAATGCAAAAATACCTTCGATTTTGTAATTCACTTTTATAAACTACTAGCTGACCCGGCAAACATTGCTTTGCTAAGTAAGGTATATTCTAAACAATTTCTAGAGAATCAAAAATATTAATACTTTGAGTGTATAAGGATGTCTTGTTTCAATGCTATATACAATGAGGCATTATAAAAACAATAAATCCCATTAGTTTGTCTATATTTTGTCAACACAATCAAACTGGAAGTTTTATACACTTTCTATGGAAAACATGGTATAATCCAATCCAAGTCTTTTTTTAGTCTTTCGCCTTATTGATTACGTTTCAAGTTTTTCAGATTCTTTTTGGATTCTGGATTTTGTGTATAATTGTAAATAATACTACTGAAAATATACAAAATTTTCAAATTCTTGCGAGGAGAGATAAAAAATGAATTTAGTATTTTTTCTTTGACCTGCTATTTGAAAAGTTTCAAGTAACATTCGATGAATTAAAGTAAATTTAATAAAAAGTATATATGTAGAACAGGGCGAGGCACAAAGGTCCAATTTGACTTTGAGCAAATATAAACTATATTGTGAAAACCATAACAATTATATCACAACAAATAACAAATTTCAAGACAAAATATAAATAAATAATAACAATATGGAAATATTCACAATCGCAAGAAAAGAATTTTTAAGAAATATCTCATATTATTGTTACTTGTTTCACTGGAGAGATGAAAATGAATTAAGTATTTTTTCTTTGACCTGCTATTTGAAAAGTTTCAAGTAACATTCGATGAATTAAAGTAAATTTAATAAAAAGTATATATGTAGAACAGGGCGAGGCACAAAGGTCCAATTTGACTTTGAGCAAATATAAACTATATTGTGAAAACCATAACAATTATATCACAACAAATAACAAATTTCAAGACAAAATATAAATAAATAATAACAATATGGAAATATTCACAATCGCAAGAAAAGAATTTTTAAGAAATATCTCATATTATTGTTACTTGTTTCGCTATTTTGAAAAAAGTGGTCTGAATTATCATTTGTTTTCTTTCCATCTAGAATCATTTTTTTTTTTTTTTTTTTTTATAACAATGTGCCCAACCTTACCTAAAACAGGTCGAGGATTGAGTACATAAAAGATAATTTTAGTGCGACATATTTGATTGACAAGTGATATTTAGAATCTATTTTATACAATTCAATTGAAAACTTACATCCATAATTTTAATAACATCTTTTCCTGTTGATTTGATGCCCGCATTTAGTCTTCTCTGCAAATTTGCAATCATAGTTTCTAAGTGCATACGTTGACGAGAAAATTCTTCATGGACTTCTTTGTCTTGTGGGCGCAGCTTTGCTGTATCGGTATCATCATCATATTTATGGTACATTTTCTAGGAGAGAGAATAATGAGATATGAATTGAATGTTGAATTTGTGTCTTGTGAGGATAATTATAGAAAATCGACAATTGGTATGTTTGGATCACTCCAAGTACTTGGGAAGCATTCTGATGCTGAGCTCGTCTTGCAAAAGAGGCTAGTAAATTATTATGTCTCGAGCATAATTCTTCATGGATCCGAGACATGGACCCTAACAAAGGACGACAAAAACTATCTGGACTTCTGGAGAGTTTTGAAATGTGTTGGAGACGAATGGAGAAAATAAAGTGGACCGACAAATGAAGCAGCCCTGAGAGGAGTGGGCGATGAGAGATCTCTACTGAGCACGATTTTTAAAAAGAAAGGAAACTGGATCGGATCCATCTTGCGAAAAAAGTGCTTTCTACATGACATCCTCAAAGATAAAATAGAAGGACTAAAATGATTTATAAGAAGAAGAATGCAGATGGTGTTGAAAACGAAGCACAGGATAAAGAGAAATCATTGATTTGTGTTGTGGTGCTCTCATACCATGGAATTGCCTTTGGGCAGACTACTATTTATTATTATATATATTCATATGATTAATAATAAAATATATGTTTGTAGCATACGCACATCGCCTAATTTTATAACCACTTATAATTTTACAGTATTTATAATTTTATTAACTGATTTGAAAATATTTCGAATTTTTAATTACGATACAGGAAGTTCGAGCAATTTGGCTTAAGGCATAATGCTATGCCCCACTAGTTTTCATTTATTAAATAATAAAAGATAATAAAGTGTAATCCGTAAGGATAAATATGTACGTATAATATTATTACCCGAATACAGTTGCGCAGTTTGGCGGGTTCTTGTAAAATTCCTGACGCCTTGTGCAAATCATTTCGCACATTTGTTAAAATTCTGTTCGATTGCCTGACTTTTAGTTGTTCTTTTGCAAGCTCTGCTTCGGCTGCTGACACTTTTTCAGTCATTTCCACTAGTTTCAGATCTGGGAAAATAATTAACTTAATTACTATTATATTGTTTAAATGTGTATATTTGCGCATCGGCTGGAACTCCTTTAAAAAAGAGCTATATTTCAAGGAATATTTATGTAAAACAAAATTAAAGCGAAGCTCGAGTTGATGTTTTCATATTACGATACAAAGAATTGCATGATAGGGGTATATGTATATTGTATTTCTACAAGTGATTATTAATATAGCTATAATGGTATTTAAAAAGGTATGTTAAAAATATAAAAAACGTTATCTTTAATAGACTATTACCTAATCCCGCATTTGCTTTTTGTAAGCCTTCGAGTTCGATTTCCATCTCAGTAATCTGTTCTTTCTTTTCTCGAATCTCACGCTCTTTAGGCTCAATTTGATTTTTGAGTTCTTTAATTTTGTAGTTTAGTACAAATTTGTATTTATCAAGTTCTTGATTTTTCCGTTTTAGAAGGGCAATATTGTTTTCTTTGTCTTGAATTATAGCATCGCGTTCCCCAATTTCTTTCTTCATATCTTGAATGTCCTGCTCTAGACCCAAAATGATTTGTTGGAACTTTTCTACTTCGGCTAATGACAAAATGAAGTTGTTAAAAATTTATTTATTAAAAAAATCAAAATTATCAACTTGATAAATTATCATACATCATACCTTGGAAATTCAAAACTTGCGCTCTGGTAAGTTCCACTTCCTTTTGAGTCGCCGTGTATTTTTTTCTCAGTGCTCCCAAATCTCCACGAAGTGTAACCTCTTTATCTCTTTCAGCCTTAAATATATTATGATAATTGAAAATTATATTTACTATAGGATGTCAATCGTATTACCTTTAATTTAGTTTCGTAAGTCGTTTTCAGATCAATTAATTCTCTATCAGCATCGTCTTGAGTTTGATTTTGGGCTTCTTGGCATTCGCGTTCTTTTTGACGAATTTCTGCTTGCAACTATATAAATTTGATTGGTAATATAGATCCAAACTTATGAATTATAGGAATGTGATTAACTAATGATTCAGATAAAAATATTTAATTAAACATATATGAATAAATATTTGTATATGGCGGAATAATATATCTAATCTACCAATTATCATTATTTATTTTATATATAGGTTACAAAATGATTTTTAAGTTAATGGGAGAATGGAACAACCGATTTGATTAATTCAGAGTATAATTTGGATTTTTGTCGGGCTATATCAGGTATAAATAACCACGTTTTTGCTTGATCTGGTAATTGCAAAAATGTAATTATTATACGAAATTTTGGATTTAGTACTATACTATTGTGCAATTATTAACAAAATTTTATAATATTATAATAATTAGGGGAAATACGGACAAAATGGTATATATGGTTAAAATGACACAGTAGCCTTATTTAAAATCGACTAGTTTTAATAACGTTTTCGCCTTTGTATAACATGAAGAAAGCCATAATAACAATCCTGTCAGACGTTGAGCGTGATTGTCACAGTCTTGTCGGAGTAATCAGTCCAACGTGTTTTACGCCTTGAAATATTCAATCTTATTGGTCAAAAAGAGGCATATTCGAAACTCCAATATTTCGATAAACTATACCATTTTGGAGAGTTATTTAAAGAACTATATTAAGTCCTAGGTCAATAATAAATTAGTTTAGAAAATATAAATCTTTTCCTGGCCACTCCTAGACGTCGAACACTAGTCCAGCCAGTTACCCTTCTTGTACACGTGTCGGTAAATTTCTTGCCAGCGCAAGTGGTTTAATAAGTATATATCATTAAAAAATAAAACACCATGTTATTTTGTTCGTGATTTTGAAATCCGATCAAAACTCATGAAAATAAGTTCAATAGTTTTTATAGCATTTGAATGATTCAAAAAAACTAAGGAAATAGTATGTTTCATTACACCGACAATGGATAAATATTATTGAATAAAACAAGTTTAAAGAAATTGTTTTGTGTATAAATATACATGAAATTCACATTTACCTCTTCGATTACAAGGTTCTTGTCTTCCAATTGAGCCATATGGTCTTCCCCGGCTTGTTGAAGAGCTGCTTCCATTTGAGCTGCCAAATCTTTTAGTTTGGCTTCGTAATCTTTTCGCATTTGATTCGTTCGATCTTCGAAACGAGAATATTTATCATATTCGACAATTAATTTTTCATTGAAAGCTACTTCCAATTCTTGTACCGCGGCGTCGTGTTCTTCTTTAGTTTTTGGATCTCGGAATTAATCGCATTCAATTCTTGAGTGTGGTCCATTTCGAGTTGCTGAGATATATATTTTGAAATAAGCATTTGATGTGTTACAGGAGTTGCAGGAGAGAGTTTGAGTTTGTGTATTTATTGGAATAATTTATGTAATAAGTATTGCAAAGGCTATTTACTGATATTTATTTGTATTTTTTTTTTAAAAAAAGTGGTAGCGGTATAAAACATCATTTAAGCAATAGAAACAGATACATATTCAATACAGTTCATGTTCTAACTCCGAAAATAGATCTAATGTTGTATTATTATAATACTTTACCTTATTTTGAGCAACTAATATATAATATTTTAATATATTATTAAATATAATATATAATGTTTTTAAATAAGAGTTATTTCTTTAAATATCGAATTAATATTGAAATATTGTTCCTAATATTTTTTATGGATAAAGTATAACTTTCTATTTACTTTCAACCAATAAATTAATAACATTAAAATATTTTTGAATAATAAATAAAATATTGCAGTAACATTTTTAACATGCACATTACGAATATTTGACTCTGCTTAAATGCCTATAGTTAGCGACAAATTAAGTAGAATGTATTCCGACATTTCTATTTGCCGTAACTGTCATTATTTGTTTTCCTCAATATAGTATAGGACGAATTGGTATTTATTAAAATATAGTATTAATTAGCACACGAAAAAGATTTCTGTTATGAATAATACTTGTATATTTTTTAACCCGTAGTCTTCTTATCAAAAATCTTCTTATTCAACATACGACGCGAAGTAAAGAATTATTAATATCTCATTTGAGAAATGATTGCTTAATAAATAATAAAGCTAGTGATGTGAGGGATTTTTGCATGTAGTCCCGATGCAAATTGAAGCAGCTTTTGTAAACCACGATGTAATTTTCACCTATGATCATCTCATTAAAATTTAATGAGTAGCAAAACCACCTTTACGCGTTTTCATAAATATACATTGTTCATTAATTCGTTAGAATTTGTTCATTAAATCCGAGTCGGCTAAAAATAATTACCTTCAGTATTTAATTAACCCCTTTGGCATAGACTTATGGCGTTACTTGAATTATAAATATTTTTTTTATATTCCCATATTTTTGAATACAATAAATCGCAACGGGATTTTGCACAAAATTAATTATTCAAATTTGAAAGTATAAAGGTGAATACTTTATGGAATGGGATTTTGCAATTATAATGAAATACCTTATATACGTTTACATTTAATAGTAAATAAAGTAATCAGTAACTGATTTTATTGAATAATTTAATGTTTATATTACATATATAAAAATGTTACATATTATAAAAAAAATTACTAGGTTTATTGCATTGTCATTTTTTACGTTAAATATATATATATATATATATATATATATATATATATATATATACACACTTTAGAGCATTTTTTTGAAGGAGGGCTCTCGATTTTTTAAATTTTAAAGTTCAACATAGTTCAACAAAAAGTCTTAATTCTTGAGAACTTGGGGCTTTTATGTTATTGTTTTTGATTGTGGTTCTAGAAATGTTATTCACGGTTACGGTTTTAAAGTCCAAATAGTAAAAATTTACCACATTAATCGAAAACTGGTCATAATTTCACCAAAGTATTAGGTTGCACTTAAAAGCTCATAATTTCCACACAGCGTGAGATAATTTTTACAAAACTATATAATAATTTTATGAAAAAATTTGCTTATAAATTATAAATATAACATAGCGAATTTTAGAATCGACTTTAATGCTCGTTTTTTTAGATAATCTAAACTTATCTTCTCTATAAATATTAAATTTTAAATAATCTTCGACAATTTATAAATAAAAAGCTTTAAGAATAATATCATGAACCTATAGTATTCCAGTTTATGCATTTATTTATATTTCGAATGGAAGCTGTAATCGGTGATATTTAAGAGTATTTTAGACTATATCTAAGAAATAATTGATTTTTTTTGTAGTAATGAACTAAATAAATTACTGTTATTATTAGTATATTCTTGGCATGCTTGGAAGATGTGACATTGAAATGAAGCAATACTATAAACAATTATTTAATATTTTTTAATTGTGAATAATAATTAACGAATATATAAAAACGTTTAATATATACGTAGACTTTATTTTTATTCAATTCATATACTCAAAATCAATATTATTTTAGCTACTAAATTTATAAAAAATTGCAACAAAAACAAAATATTTTATTAGTATGCGAGCCGTTATTTTGATAAACAAATTGCCTTTTTGGGCAAGAAATCAAGATCTGTATCACCTCATTTTTCTCCTTGAGTTCCTCGATGGCGTCGCAATAGCCCCGATGCACTTCTCGCATTTTCTCCGAATGAAAAGCGTCTCCCTGGCGCATCTGATAAGCGTGCTCGTTTTCGATTTCCCGCATCCGTTTCTCTAAACCCTTTTGATCATAAAAGATTCGGTTAGTTTAGTAATTTAGCTATAGTTTCTGAAATTTTTCTCATCTATTATAACATATACAATTATCTATTTTTTCATAAATTTTCATTACCTTTTCAGTATATATATATATATATATATATATATATATATATATGCCATTGAGAGGATGTAGGAAAAGTATATATTCAAAACATTTATATTATGAATATATACTTTCCCTACATCCTCTCAATGGCAAACATCTGTAGCATGACGCATTTTCAAATATAATTTTTAGTGAATGTACAATTTAGTTTGTGAGTGTTGAATTTAGAATCAATTTTACATCCAAATTTTGAAAAGGGGACATGTTATATCACGTTTCAGTGAAAATTGAATAATTACATTTTTAGTTTAATTTTTATTTTCGTTTAGAAAAAAAAAATCATAAATAATAATAGCTATCTAGGAAAACTTAAACAATGTATGTATACATATGTATTTGAATATATATCTAACTATGAATGAATATTTTTTAAATATCCGACCAATTTATTAAATAAAAGTTCCAGTATATGTTGCGCGTTCTGATTTTACTCATGTTCAGTGCGATACATACAAATAATTTAGATATAAATCCTTTACTAACTGATGATAACTTATAAAGTTATAAAACAAAAAATATGAAATTAAAAACTATGAATAGATAAATGTCTTATCAGAATATAAAAATGCCACAAAACAATGTTAGCGTTGTGGTGATTTGTATTTAAACTGTTTTATTTATGGCGCGGAAGATAAGTCAAATCAAACTAAAGTCAAATTGTCTAACTAAATTAATGAATTATCTGTCTTAGTAATTAATTTAATAATTGAGTGGATACCAGAAAAACTTATTATATATTATATATATATATATATATATATATATGTGTGTATGTGTGTGTGTTTTGGTAAATATTCACAGAATGTCAATAATTTCACGTGAATTTAAATTCAAAATCGTTTATTTTTTTATTGAAAATAATATAAAATCTACATAATATTTACCGTCATTCACTACAAATATATTACGTGTGTAAGCCCTGATATAATTCCGAACATAATTACGTGTTTACGCAAAAACTTTGTACGCAATGTACAAATGAGCAAACAATATACGAAATTGAATGATTAAATTTGATTCTCTAAAGCGATAATGCATGTAAATACTGTAATTAGAAAATTATTAATTCGTGAAGTAATTATCCGAATGCGGGAAATGTGTTAATTACTAGTAATTATTAAAATTAAATACATCCAATCATTATGAATGCGCTCGCTATGGTGTTGGCTGCTTGGGGAGGTTAAACTAATTAATGTTTAATTGAACTTTAGTTATTATGCATGCGATTTACTGTTTCAGGAAATTGTACTATGATTATTTATATTGTATAATAATCTTTGGAAAAACTTCGTCGACGTCTATATTCCTTTTGCTTACTTTTTAAAACATTAACAGATTAAAAATCTAATTAATTAATAATCTAATTAGTATTTACTAATATTTTATTTAATATTTTATGTTTATTTCATTTAGTGAGGTAAGCAACAGATCCACTATACAAAACAGAACTATGCATAGACAAAGAGCCAGTGAACCTTTTGAATAACGGTGTTCCTGTAAGGCTGAAAATTTTTGTACAGGTGATTCTTAACGTGCTAAGTACGGAAACGACGGTCTGGCAGGTTTTAGCCCTGCACATCATGGTCGTCCAGGCGTTTGAAAGTGTAAAAAATATCCGAAAATTAAACTTGTTCCTGTAAGGTTCAAATTTTTATACGATGTAATTCACTCATTGAGAAGTTCGAAAATCAATCTGCCAGACCATTTCGACCTGCACAAGTACCTGCCAGACGAGCCGGAAAGTGAGCAAAAAATGCCCCAAAATAAACTTTGTCCTGTAAAGCTGTAATTTACATATGTGTTTATCTAAGCAATTCGAAAAAGGTCTGTGCAATTGCCAGACCATTCTGGCTAGCATAAGCCCTTGCCAGACGAGGGCAAAAATGCTATGGCGGGAGGGCGAATAATAGGCGTTGCGTGAAAACTTAGCATATATCCAAACGATATTATAAAAAATTACAAATTATATAAAATATTACAAATTTAAAAAAGTCTGTGCAATTGCCAGACCATTCTGGCTGGCATAAGCCCTTGCCAGACGAGGGCAAAAATGCTATGGCGGGAGGGCGAGTAATAGGCGTTGCGCGAAAACTTAGCATATATTCAAACTATATTATGAGAAATTACATTTCATATAAAATATTACAAATTTAAAAAGGTCTGCAATTGCAATTGCCAGACGAGGGCAAAAATGCTATGGCGGGAGGGCGAGTAATAGGCGTTGCGCGAAAACTTAGCATATATTCAAACGATATTATGAGAAAATTACAATTTATATAAAATTACAAATTTAAAATTTTAACATTACCGCCTATGTGTTGATCAGCTCCGTTTGCATCCTCCTCAGCAATACGAAAAGGATGTTGTGATATTATTTCAAAAATTGAAATTGGTCTCTCCCACGAACCAATTGAAATCAAATATTTTTTCAATCAATATCCAGCCAGTATTTTGAGGTTTAAGAATTGTTGGTACTTTTAAATGACTATTTGAAAACTATATCTACTCGTGCGGTATGTGCTGCCATTATTTTTTTGAAATATTACCAAATGTTTTTGGTATATTTTTCATTGAATGCAGTAAATAAAATCCATCGAAAACAACAGCATCATACCAAATTGTTTCGTAATCAGTTATATTTAGTTTCGTTATCAGTTGCTCGTAAGACTTCAATCATTGCTGATTTCGCGGTTTTATAGATAGTTCCATCTGCGTGGCAAAGTGACATTAAAACTAGTTGGTATTCGTATTTTGCCTTGAGGCAAGTTACATAAACTTCCCGACTTAATCAATAAAAAATAAATTAATTTATGAGTGATTAAAAGTATTACGAGTGGATTTATTGCAGATAATTGAAAACGAACGAACACGACGTTAACTCGGGGTATTTTCTAAAAGCAAAGAACCAGTTTTCGTAAGATTTCAATGGTTCAGTATGTTCAATAAGACCAAGTACTCTGGCGTTATACCAAGTAAATTGTCTAAATTTAATTTTAACCAATGTGAAATTAACTACTTATTTTCTCAAACTTTGATGAATTTTTAAAATTAAACTACTTGTCGTAATGCGGTAATATCTCACTAAATTCTATAAGACCATGATATATATATCTCCCAAAAAAATTCCATGAAAATCGGCTTAAATTTTTGTTTTCAACACTTAATTACAAGAAAACGGCTCGGTAGATTTTCACCTAAAACTAATCAGTATCATTCCCAACTAATATCTTTCGAACAGTTTTTTGATTTTTTAAAATCAATTCGGTGGTATGAGCTTAAATGTGGACGAAAAGTTTAACAATTTCTCCAAATTACAAAGAAACGGCAGATCGTCGCACTAAACAGACAAACGATAGTCCTCATCGAGGTACATCAAATGGCTTTTGAATTTCTGAAATGGGTTCAGGCGTTTTTGAGCAAACGTCGATAAAAGGTCTAATTCTGATAAATGCCAAAAAAAGCGATATTATTTTTTGCAAATTTTGATGAATTTTTAAATCGGTCCAGTCGTTTTTGAGAAAACGTCGATTTACTTACGGAAAAAAATCTGTTCACACATACGAAATCTGTTCACTCGTACATACTTTTTCCAAATTTGGTCTCATTCGATTCAGAATGGCTTGAAACGTCGAGAAAACATAAAATTAACAAATCAGATTTTTTGATGAAAACAAACTTTTTCGGGAAGCTAACAATTGTAATGGGATATGATAATATTTTTTCAAGATCAATATTTTATTGGATTTATCGCGCTAATAGGCGACCAACCAAATCACGTTGGACACGAATTTCGTGAATTTTATTATTAGCTTTAATAGGTTTCTTCTTTTTTTCTGAAGAAGAAATTCATAATTTGTACCTGTGAAATTTTTTCTTCAAATCTCTTACCCTCCGTTGAACATTCAGAAATTAATGTTTTTTTTCAAATTTCACCTATTTTCATAAAATTCAATAGCTACTCAATAGAAGCCTGAATTGAAGTATTAATTAGCGATATATCTGATAATGATGATTAATTCATGATGATATATATTTCATTGTAACTAATTAAATTTATTTTGACCATAATTTGTAATTTTTTATAATACCGTTTGAATATATGCTAAGTTTTCACGCAACGCCTATTATTCGCCCTCCCGCCATAGCATTTTTGCCCTCGTCTGGCAAGGGCTTATGCTAGCCAGAATGGTCTGGCAATTGCACAGACCTTTTTCGAATTGCTTAGATAAACACATATGTAAATTCCAGCTTTACAGGACAAAGTTTATTTTGGGGCATTTTTTGCTCACTTTCCGGCTCGTCTGGCAGGTACTTGTGCAGGTCGAAATGGTCTGGCAGATTGATTTTCGAACTTCTCAATGAGTGAATTACATCGTATAAAAATTTGAACCTTACAGGAACAAGTTTAATTTTCGGGTGTTTTTTACACTTTCAAACGCCTGGACGACCATGATGTGCAGGGCTAAAACCTGCCAGACCGTCGTTTCCGTACTTAGCACGTTAAGAATCACCTGTACAAAAATTTTCAGCCTTACAGGAACACCGTTATTCAAAAGGTTCACTGGCTCTCAGTCTAGCAGGCAATAAATTAATTCTAAAATCACATAGCTCGTTTTATTTATTAACTGATATAAACGAGTCACAAAACGATACAATAATTTTCACTAAAATATTGGCTTTTATAATAAATTGATGAAAAAGCGAGGTTCTTAGAATCAATTTTTATGTCCGTTTCTGTAGGTCATCTAATATAAACTTCGAATTAATCTGCTCATTTTATTTATTAATTAATATAAATAATTTGATTCAGAATATAAAATATTAGTTTTTTTGTTTGTAACAAAATGTAACTTAATATAAAAGTGAACATTAATAATATAATAATAAACATTGTCTGAGAAAACAAACTGTCATATCTTCCACTTATTATAAAAAGCCTGGGATTGCTTTTAATAAGGTATAATTTGTTTTCACTATATTTTTTATTTTGAATTCTTTGTTTTTTATAGTATAAATGCAAAAAGTTTTAAATCTATGAGTTCTATCTTACTACATAGTAGTAAAAGGTTTTAAAATGATATCACATGATAATAGTCCGTTTACGTCAAAATATAAAACTAGTGGTGTATGGCATCGTGCTTTAAGGCAAATTGCAGGAACTTCTCGTATTAAAAATTAAATTTTTAAAAAAGATTAAATATGTTTTAAACTTTGAAAAATTTAGATTTTTGAGAAATTTTAGAAAATTAGATTATTGAGATTGAACTATTTTGGAAATTTTGAACTTTTCAAAGCAATCTCGAAGCGCGTAAGCGCCGCGTCGCCTTCTAACGGTTAAACGATGTTACGAAATCAATAGAAATATTAACAAAATTGATACACATTATTAAAATATCGATAAAATAGCTGATAAACATTTTTGACCGCCAAATGACACTTTTTTAACTTATTTTTATTGAGAGTCCATAACTGCTGGATCTGCCTGTCCACAAATTTTACCAGTTGTTCATTTCATCAATACAAGTAAAATGTATTTTTGAATTATTAAAATCGGATGCTCCGTTCTCTTAAAAACTGAATTACGGTTTTGGCACTTTTTGCCTTTTTTATATCTTCGAAACGGCTAGACCTACATGTGCCAAAAACTAATCAGCACGTCTTATTATTAATAGGAATCGAATGTTTTTTTAATAATTGAAATCGGTTGAACCGTGTGCTCGAAATTGTCGATTAAATTTTGTATCCGCACACACACATACATCAGTTTTTTCTTAGAAATGCCAAAATGTCCAGAAACCTCAAGATATATAAAAATTTTAATTTTTAATTTTTTTTGCGATTACTATAACTTGCTCAACGGGAAGTTAATTATAGACTACTTGAATATGCATATTATTTTGAAACTTACCGTGATGAAGACCATTTTTTCGCGCATTTCGATTTTGGGCATCAGTATCTCTTGGCAATAACGAAAATCCTTGTCTAGCTTTCCAGTGCGTCCCTCGCAATTCCCAACGCGCCAAATCGCTACCGAACCGTCATCACACACTGTTATCAGATTGAGATCGTCGTATGATAGACGCATCTTCACTATCGGACGATTGTGGAGCTTGTATTCCAGACATTGACCTCCACTGGCTTCCTAACAATTTTCAAGGGATACTTTAAATCTACTGGAAAAATGTTTCGAACACTTACAACTATGCTTGCACTGCGTTCTGCTAACAATATTGACTATTGCTGGATTTCTTATAATTTCCAAGATATACTAACCAATTAACAATAGAGCTTTCAAACTATGTACTGTTGTTTTATGTCTTTAGAATCGAATCGTACGGTTATATTCGTCAAACACATAATAAGATGCGCTGGTAAGATATTGGGTGAAAAAGACTTGAAAATTAATTAGCTAATATTTAGTTCTTTGACTAAAATAACAATATTTCATAGAATTTACCAGTTTGCAATAAATTCAATTCAATGGAGGTGAGGAGTATCAGAATCAGGGGTCACAACAAGGTTTTGCGAATCAATTTTTTATAGTTTCTTATTGTTGTGTTATCACTATACAATTTTATAGCGTATAAAATATTGCAAACTGGTAAATTCTTCAACGAACAGGCACGCCGAGATCCATCTCAAACAACAATATTTTTCATTTCTTTATTTTTTCCGGTTTAATCATAAAACGTTCTAAACATCGTGAAATTAGTGAATTTGTTTTATTTTTCTCTAAAATTGTTATTAGCCAATGATCATACGCATTACGAGTATACACTAGTTCAATCTATGGAAAAAGGTTCGAATAAAAATAAAAATATTATCACCCTTACAATTATGTTCATTTATTGCTATGGCGATATTTTTAGATAAAATAAACATAATAAAGGTTCTGCTTACAATATTGACCTCCGCTAGCTACCTAAGAATTTCCAAGGATCTTTAAATCCAATGAAAAAATATTCAAATAATTTTACAACACTTGTAAATATGCTCGAACTTACGCGTTATTTATTTTCTAAAATCAAACATTTTGTTTACAAAAGTAGAAAATCATGCTTACAATCTTGTTTTCACTGGCATTCTAAGAATTTGACATACTTTGAATATAATTCACAAATGTTTCATTACTTATGACTAAATTTGTTTAAGTTTACGCGTTATATTTTTTTAATTCAACTTTTTCCTTTTCTCTATTCAAAATAAATCCAGCTTGCAATACTCCCGTTAACTTCGTAAATAGAATTTTACGGTATCATCGTCAACAATTTAAAACTTGAATAAATATATGGATGCGAAAATATCCAAAATTATTAATTTTTATAATAAATATTATTTTGACTTTCTGTCTATAAACAATTTATAATACAATATTTTAATCGATTGTTTCTACTCAGTGTACATATTACAAATATATATGTTTTCTCTGCGATTTATCACTTAATCAAATTCGTAATTCTATAATTAAATTTTATCTATTTTCAATACTGAAACATTTTGGTACATGTTTTAATGCAATTCGCCAGAATATTGCACATTTATGTATATGTGTCATGTAAGCAAATGTTCAGCTGTGAAAATTTATATTTACATTATGCAAAGTGACAATATCATAAAGGAAATTGTCATGTACTGAACATGACTATTCTATCGTTTTTTCAACCTTGTCACTCAAGCTATTCGCCTTACACATATTTAGTTTGATATTCCAATATTGATAATGCAAATAAAATTTATCAAGTTTAAATGTATTTTTGTTAGTTCACGACAAAGAGTTTTTCTCATCAATATGTATATAGTAACGAATATCTTTATTATCTGCACTTATTGAAGAGACTTACCGATTCAAAAAAAACCAGTTGTAAGTAATATTTTTCTTTCAGGAAAGTTGCTTTCCGACACGTGTAAATAATCGACTTCAATATACTATTATTAAGAATGGAGATTTACTAATTTCTAGAATTGCGACGACACTATTTTTAACTGTTATTTCGAAACAGTAGATATAAGGTAGGCAATCGAGAAATTATAGGGCATGATCATACTAGTAATGAAATATTTACTCGTACTCGAAATAAGTACTCAAAATTCAGTTCAATCAGAATGATTCATATTGGAACATTTGAGATACTTAATTACTCGTCTGATTAACTATAACAATATTTATAGAATGAGAATAGTAGTACAAATTATTACTCTTACTCTATTGCATAGTGTTACCTGTGATTAACATCATAACATTGAACGTATCTCTATTATCCACCTAACAACTGAATATTTCTTTATACCTGTAGCGGAAATCGAATGGATAACACCGATCCGCCGGTGCCTGCTGCGAATAACATAAGATCGCTGCGTGCCATCGCCATACAATCCATGGTCGGAGCAGGGGGCATTTGACCAGGAAGGAGACCCACGTGCTGCGGTTGACGCGGGATAACTTGTCTGATGATGGTCGAATCGCAAATCTCACGCAAATAACCATCGCTCGCCACCGTGTATGCTCGTGTGCCGTCTCTATGGGGGTAGGTAACCAATAATTAATTCTGCATGCACGTCAATTTTGATAAATATATTGGATAAATCATTTGTTGATTTATCATTATATCTTCTATATCATTATACAGGGCGTTCCTAACTTTGACGTCAAACCGAAATTAGATGTTAGTACTTCAGGACCTTAACTGTCCTGAAAAAAAAATTTGAAAAAAAAATTTTACGTGATTTGGAAATTATGAGCTTTTATGTGCTTCCTAGAGCTTTGCTGAAATTATGACCATTTTTCGGTTATTGTGCTTAACTTTTAATTTTTGTTCATTTAAACTTTGAAACCGTAACCATGAATAACATTTAGTAGAAGCACATTAAAAAAATACCACAAGTGCCCCAGGTTTTCAAGAAATAAGACTATTTGTTGTACTATGAAAAATGTTCATATTCGGTCGATTTTGATAGATCCTCCTTAAACAATTTACTAATTTTTCGGTTATTTTTATGCTCAAAATTTTCCAATAATAATATTCACAGGTATATTACCATTTTACAATCCTGATTGAATGAGCTAACTTTTGATGAAACTTGCTAACACACGCTAGTAAATTTTTTAAAGGAGTGTCTCTCGAAGTCGACTTTTTTAATTTTAAACTCATAGTTCCACAAAAATCTTAATTCGTGAATACTTAGGGCAATTGTGTTATTGTTTTTTGATTGTGGTCTGAGAAATTTTATACGCGGTTGCGGTTCCAAAGTTTAAATTAACATAATTAGTAACAATTAACCGCAATAACCGAAAAATGGTCATAATTTTACTAAAACCGTTTGCACTTAGAAGCATATAATTTCCAAGCAGCGTGAGATTTTTTTTCTATTTTTATTTTAGACTATCACCCTATTTCGGCTTGACGTCAATGTCTGGGACACCCTGTAGACATATATTTTGAAACAAACACAATGAATTACAGAAGCTACATACAATTTTGGGTAAGGTATTTAAAAATAAAAGATTTTTTTTATCTTTTGTCATCACCAATCTCCGAATAAATTGCTAATTGAATTGGAAAGAATTTACTGATGTTTTTAAGTTTTGTTATAAATATACAATAGTGTAAATAAATGCCGACATATTATTTCTGGATAATCTAAAGTCTAAACTATCTGACCATCTTCAACATAACTTATTCCATTAAAAATTATAGTATAGTTATATACTTACATAATATTTTCTAGATTTTAATGATCGTAACTTGCCGTTATTGAATAAAAATAAAATATATAATAGAAGATTTTATAAATTTCCTTATTTATAATTTTAAAAAGTCTGTCTAAAAATTATTACAGTCATTATCAGATGAAAAAAATCTGTTTATGTAATTTTAAATTAGTACTTTTCATGTTTCAAGATGTTTTTAATTCTTAAAAAATCTATCAGACAGATGGTTACTTACATAAATGAAAGATGTTCCAAACGATAATCAAAATAGATATAGACTGCAACTTTACATATCATTAGTTTTATGTGAAATAATACGTTGATTCAATATTACATTGCGGTTTTCATAAAATACTTATCGCTTCTTATTAAAGGAAATGTGATAGGTGCTTGTGTAAACATTAAACTGATATACTAAATAAACGCGTACTCACGATTATCATTTTACATCACATATATAATTTTTTAGTTATTCGTTGCAGATTATTTTTTGTTATAATTAGAGTTAAATTAATATAAAAATATAAAAAATAGTTCCAATTATTTATAAATATGAAATTATGATTAATAATTTTAAATATATAATAATATAACCGGTAAACGAATCATGAATGAAATCTATAGAGGATTTTAAGTCTATTACTTAACACTTAAATAATCATAGAAACATAAATATTTCAGTGGTTATGATTAAGAACAATTGTGCATTTAAACTTACAGTACATGTGTATCAAATCGCACTGACAGTACCGTTTAAAAATATCTTTCTACAAATTAGAAGAGTATTTAAAATTAAACTTTTAATCAAATGTCGTAACACCAAACAATTTGTTATTCAAAATTCAAATCCAAAAAAGTAATTTGGCAACGGGCGGAAGCCCCAGTATCTTCCGAACGCCATGACTGCATAAAAGATAACAACTTCCGGGAGCGCGTTAATTAGAAATAATAATGGTGTCGTACGTATGCGGATGGCCGATCACCATTAAGATTGTAATTCTAGCCTCGTGGCTATCCTGTGCGTTTTCAGTTCCCAAGAGATTCTATTTAATTCGTTTAATGATAATCGAATGCTAAGTGATCGAACGGTATAAAATAACATGGTTGAGCAAAAATATATTAGGCGTTATAATGAAAAATTAATAATAACAAAAATGTAACGTTTTACTAAACTAGTTGGTATTGATATTTAGCCTTGAGGCAAGTTACATGAACTTCCCGATATGTGTAAATAATCGACTTAATCAATAATAAACAAATTAATTTATGAGTGATTAGAAGTAATTGAAAACGAACGAACACATTAACTCGGAGTATTTTCTAAAAGCAAATTTCACACACATCAATAATTTTTTTATTGAACGTGTTTTCGTAGG